GTCATTCATTATTAATACTATTAGTAATATCTTCGTTAAAGACTTTGATGGCGACAGCTCAAACATGAGAGGTTGAGCTTTATTAGCTCCTCCTTGCGGAAATTCCGGATACTATTATTTTGCTTGCGGTATTATAGGAGAATTTACGGTTACTAGTGGTATTTACCGGTAACTCGCGGTAGACTGCATACAGCGCACCGGAAAATAATGTGGTATCGCCCGCGCATTTTGAATGGCTGCATCTGTACAACTTGTAGTCTTCCCATTTTTTAATTAAATACACTTTTCTTTGCTTTGAATGCTGCTGTCAGGTTCAGAAGTGAAGTTATATTTTTAACAAACACAGTGTACTAATATACAAACAGCACGGTGGTGTAGTGGTTAGCATTGCAGCCTTGCAGCATTGGGGTCCTGAGTTTAATTCCAGTCCTGGCATGCTATATACATGGAGTTTGTATGTTCTCCCTCTGTTCTCGTGGTTTGAGGGTTTCCTCTGGTTTCCTTTCATAGTTCAAAAACATACTGGTAAATTAATTGGCTTTGGTAATTAATTGGTGAAATCTGTCGCTAGGTGTACAGTATGTGTGTGTCTGCCCTGCCAGGCACTGGCACCCCATCCATGGTTTATCCAGCCTTGCGCCCATTACTTGCTGATACGGCTCTGCCTCCCCAGCAACCCTGAATTGCAAGAAGCAGTTAGAAAATGGATGGATGGGTTGATATACCATAATATTACAGTAATAAATTCCTTCTTCTTGCTATGATTTCAAGGTAATAAGAAAGTGAAAATAAAGTTTGAGATTTTCTTTTGGTTTTAAAATGCATGAGACTAAAAAACATCTTTACGATAATATCACTTTACTTGTACACTTGCTTTCACCCATCATTTGTATAATGTTATCTAATCTTGATGTTTTTGTATCTGGCAGGAGACAAATGAATCTACGTCACACCCCCCTCAAGCTACACCAATTTTCAATACGCATACCACAGACCAGAAGTTTGTGCCCAAGGATCCAGCAAATCCAGAAACCTCATGTAGTTCAGTTAGCAGTAACCCTGCTGAAGACACCATCTCTCCTGCACTTGACATCCAGGCCTTTTCTCCCCAACAGCCAGCAGAGACTGTAGAGAACCCATCTCCTTTGCCAGGCAACTTCAATGCTACCCAGTCCTTAGTTTCACCTGGTCCGTCCACAAGCTATGATGGAAAACAGTAGGATGAACTTGCACTTCGAATGAATGTACTTGTTGTAATTAAAGCAAATGTTTTTGAGTTTGTGTGTATTCAGGTTTAAGAAGAAAAATTATTGTAACCAAAAACAAAGATGAAATATTCTGTTTTTTTCAGTAGAAGAAATGTGTGTGGCACTGCCATTGAATTGTTGCCTTTTGAGATTTGGTTGCACTTCCAGTTCTTGCATTGCTTATTATAAATTGGAACCTTATTGTATGTATATGCAGCTAGACTCCTTGTTACAATGCTATGTTACATGAATTACAGACTGAAACTGGAGATGTGTACTTACTGACTGTAAACAATTTTTGAAATATTCCGTTTTAATATATTCTTAACATTAAGAATTAAACTGCAAAAGTGCCTAAAATCTAAAGATTTATGAGTCTTAACGTAAAGTTGTCTTTCACAGGCACCTTACTGCACCTCTTATAGGCATAGATTCTGTTAAGCTTTACAAGTGTAAGCTATTAATATTTTAAGTTGTCCAAAAAGCTATTTCAAATGCACCTGGGAGCATTAAAAGGTTAACTTACTGACATTTGGCAAGGACAAAAGTTGTTTTAATTGCACACATATATCTGAACCATTGAAGTAATCTTTGCATTGTTTTAACTGTGTGTGCCTTGAATCTTTTGCTTCCTAGATATTAATCACTTTTTGGTAATCTTTTGAATCTCCAGAAAAGCTGTTTACATGCACAAAAAGACGTTTTGATGAATCTTTAGGTAAACAGACTGAAAGCTATGTTGATCATGTGTATTTTACTTTAAATAATCATATCTTCAATAATTTGTAAAACCCATACATACAAAAAAATCTCAATATTCTTATTTTGTATATAGTGCAAAAATGCAACAACTGCTTTAAAAAGTGAAAAAACATTTAATGATTTCTTATTTTACTAACCATGATTAATCATTAGGTCTTAATAAAAATGTTTATTTTTGAGTATCCAAATGGTTCACCCAGGAAAAAGATACCTAGGCTCTAGTCATTTAAAGAATCCCTGCAATTTTCCAGGTATTTAGAAGCTTCTTTACTGTTGGTAAGGGATACCTCTCCTCTAATTGGCACTTAACTTTCTGCATGGGGCTCTGTTGTCTGTAACATTTTAAATATGAGTGGTTTAAAGATGGGCAGATTAGAGAAATATGCCTGCACTCTGTCATTTTTCCACAAAAGTGGCATTAAAAGTGTTTGTGGAAAAGTGATAAACACACAATGGCCTATTCCATATTGTGTTTGAAAACTAACTTGGAAAACAATACTGGTATTTTCGCCTGTGATACAAAGCTCTGTCCTTTTGACATTAAAACAAACCTTCTCACAATGTGTATTTTGTAAACATGTTAGATATGTTAATGTTTGAGAAACAGGGAGCTACATGGAATGCCGGAATTGCACATTAAACTTAATTTCTTCAAGTTAATGCTGTTAGACTTTTGTTTGATACTTTCAAAAGTAACTATCAAAGTAACTTTCTATTTACAGTACATGGATACTGAGGAAAAAAGAAACACAACATTTTCTTGAATGAGAATGCTATAGTTAAGTACTTTCACAAAAAGTTGTAAATTTATTTTAAGCCCTCTGACCAGCAATACAGCTTGTGCAGTGAGACATTGCAACATGCCACTCACACAAAAGCTCGTTAGGTGTACTTTTACCCAACCAGGTCAAGGTGGAACAATGCCTGATCAGGTCACCTTTAAAAAGGCCTTAATTCAAAGCTTAGGTCATTGCAAGAAAAAGGCAAGTCAGTTTTCTGTGGATTCCATAATGCCTCGATTGTCACCAGAAGCAAGGGAGGGCCATTGGCATGCTGGAGGCAGGCGTGTCATGTGCCAGCGCTGCCAAACACTATGAAGTAAACCGCACCACTGTGTCCTGACTGCAGAGAAGGTTTCAGCAGACCGGCAGGACTGATCATTCAAGACTTATCGCCCTCGAGTGACCACACCAGAGCAGGACAGACATATCAGACTGGTCCATCTGAGTGATTGTTTCAGATCTGCCTCCCGTACTGCTGCTGAAAACTGCCGGCAGACACAATGCCCACATCAGTGACAGGACAGTGAGGCTCCATGCTGCTGGCCTTAGAGCAAGGCGACTCGCAGAGGCCCTCTGCTCACACCTCCTAGACATCACACCTGACTTCCCTGGGCCAGACAGAGGCTGCGATGGACTCGTCAGCAGTGGCATCAGGTCCTCTTCACGGATGAGTCGCTCTTCACCCTGTTCCATGCAGAGGGGAGGGCCAGAGTATGGAGGAGGAGGTGTTGCATTTCTTTTTTCCATCAGTATATATATAGTGGTTGAATTTAGTAATCAAACCACGTAAATTTGGAAATTAAGTTTTATGCATACAATAATATTCAAACAAATGAATAAAATGTTTTAAGACATCCAGATCTATTGAATTAGAAAAGTCTTCAGTGTGCATTCATGTGTTGTGTGGTTGATGTGGTGCTGTCCTTACAATCACATTTATGTTGTATACTGAAGCTTGCTAACGTTTAATACTTTAACCATAACTCATTAACCATTTTTTTAAGTTTAAACCAACATTAATAAAAAAGAGATCTAAAAAATAGAAGGCAATAAACAAAAGATACACATGAGCACAGTGTTCAGAGGTGTGTTCACACATTTGAACATACTAAACAAGTTTTTTGTCACAATATGTTGCAGAATATTAGGATTTTTAAAAAAAAACAGTAAGATAATTGTATAAATAGTGGCAACAAATGAATCAAAATCACACACCCCTCAGGCCACTCCAGTGTGCAACAAGCACTTGACAGACCATCAGTTTGTGCTGAAGGATCCAGCAAATCCAGAAACCTCATGTAGTTCAGTTACCTTCAACCCTACTGAAGACACCATCACCCCTGCACCTGACATCCAGGCCATTTCCCCCCCAACAGCCAGCAGAGACTGTAGAGAACACCTCCTTTGCCAGGTAGATTCATCTCTACACAATCCTTCAGTTCAACCGGTTCCTGTACACACAATATAAACAACTCACTTAGAAAACAAAGGTTATTAGCAAATACAAATATTAAGGCGGTTTATGATTTCTGAGATGGCTTGGCTGAAGTCATTTACAAATTCAAAATAAATGACAGTAATTTTTGTTTGAAAATAAAAAAAGGAGTGGAGAAAATAAAAGATCAGTTAAAAAAATACTTGTAACTTGTATTCTGAGCACTCTGTTTTGTTTTGAGTACCAGTGTGATTGCTTCTTCCACATTGCCAGTAGGTTTTATTTTGTGTTATATGTATATATTGTAGAATATTTATAACTGACTTGAGGGAATTGCTTGAAAAAAATAATTTATATTTAGTGGAATTTAATGTATGATATGCAGTATATATTATAGAATACGGTATATACTCGAATGCACCAGCCTAGGTAAGAGAGCCTTGGGGTTTTAAAGAAGCACCTCCACAGGTAAGAGAAGAAGGCTGATTGAGGAAAGAACAATTGTTGTTTTTTTTTCATGGATGTTTTGTCTCATTTCTTGTTTTAATGTCCGTTATTGTAATTTTCTCCTATTCATTAAGTTTAATTTTAAGTTAAGACATATCAAAGGTTTTTTATCACTGGTTTAAATTTAGGTTTAGAAATGATTTCAGCTACTTACCATTTATTTCAGAATGCCTTTGTTTTACATTTTTGCTGCTGCCTTCAAGCTTTCACATACAGCAGTCAATATTTTTAGTTAGTTCCAGGTATTTGTTATCTATGTATACTAAGTATACCAGCCATTCTTTTTTCTATCTCAGAATGTTATTGTGTAACTTACAGTAGCTTTCAAGTTTCAGGTTTGTTGGTTTTATTGCTGCCATTCAAATGTGTATACACAGCAGCAGCTTTCACTTTCCTCAATGTGTCAATCAGTGACATTATAGGGGTATTGTTTTTTTCCAATCAGTGAACACAATGGATACCTAAATATTCCCAACATTGTTTACGTAGAAGGTAATTTGACTCTTTTCCTTGAGAATCAGTCTCCTTCATTATTTTCCAGATGCAGCAATTAAAAAATTCACATACCATGGTATGATTCAGCCTACCAAATTCAGTTTTTCACCGTCCAAAGATCGATAAGTGGCAATTGAAGTCCATTAGATGCTAGTGAAACTGAAGCCTCATTTAATCTGTTGTACTACTTTTTTACAGCCACTTAGTAACAGAATACTAATATGGAAACGTAACTAAAGGGATTTTTTTGTATTTAAAAATAAACCAAGTAAAATTCTGAATTTTAATAACTATATTAATTTATTACTATAAAAATATATTTACAGTACTGCACTGTACATAGCTGCTAGTGTTAGCTGAAAATAAAAACTGAGGTACAGAGCACTATTCCACCATCTTCATAAATATTTCATGTGAATTATTTCACTCACTTATTGAAATGCTCATTTTAACTTAATTTCTCATGAACACTTGCAAAGTTCAAATTAAAACAATAAACAACATATACTTGAAGAAATATAAGATATAAAGTACTTATAAATATTTCTGTTTTTAATATGGTGTTTTTTAGTGTGCTTAATGGTATTTATATGCAAGTTTTTATTCATTTTATATTGAATATTTCTTATTGTTTGATTTCATTTCCTATTAATTATTGGTGTTTATGGATTAATATTTATCATCATATGGGGCGATTAGGTGGAAAAAGGGTGTAAGCATCTTCATGCTTTCAGGAGCAGATTTTTTTTACAATCAAAATCTAAAATAAAACCTATTTCCTATTACTATTTATACACAGTTTCTAAAAATTACTGTATAATAATATGAAATTACTTAAGACTTTATTCTCTGCACCTGTTCCCTATTCCCAGCCCACCTTAAAAGCCAGGCGCTGACGCTCATCCGGGCTCTGCATCTGATTTCCATATAGTGCGAGTCTGGGACCTGGAAGTGCCTGGTCCCGTTAAGGTTTTAACCTCTGTTCCCGTTCCTGTTCCCTCTCCGCCGGTTCCAACCCGGCCTTCGCGGTTTTAACGTCGTGTTTTGATGGATCTCCTGGTTTTGGACTTTCTCGTGTGTTTTTGGATACTCTATGGATTACTCTTTGGGATTGTTCGCCTCGGCCACACCTCCCCCGTGCACCAGCGCAC